CAGTCTCCTGTGGTCGGTCATTCGCAGGGCTCTGGTTTTTGAATAAGAGCGCCCTGAAAGAATGCAAAATGTAAACAGAGAGCTCGGAGGCATCTCAGGAAGTTGTTTGTGAATGGGAGTGCGCTCGCCTCGAGGGCGAACACACACACACACACACACACACACACAAGCAGTCAGACACTCGATTAATCGGATCGCTCGGAAAGCTTTAAACCTCGGTGCACTTTTGCTTTCACCAGGTATGGGCCAACGTCCACAGGTTCAAAAAGTGGAGGGCAAGCTGGAGAAAACGGAGCTGCACGTCTGCGTGCGGCTCCAGAGGCATGGAGCTCCCCCCCCCCCTCTAAATCCTTCAGCAGTTAGCCCGTGTGTTTCATCAACTCGTAAAATTTAACACAACACAGTGGAATGTGATTCCTTAAACAGAGGTCTAATCCTGTTTGGAGCAAACTGATAAACACACACTTCACTGTGTGGGTCTGTGTGTGTGAGAACTCTCATTTCAGAGACTTCATACTACAGTGTGAGAGAAAGAAACAGATGAGGAGGGAAAGGAAAATAAATACATCATGTATTTTCTGCAAATACGTAAAAAAAACAACTGGGCGATGGCATATTTGTGTTTATGACTCGTTGCTGATAAATGAAGGCTGCTCTGCAAAAAGCGTAGATGAGTGCAAGAGAAGAGTAAGAGGGGCAAATAAATGGATAAAGAGGAGATGGTAGCAAAGAGAGGCACATCAGATCAGCCTCCAACTTGTTCAGAAAAGCAAACCTCCAAAACCTCTCTGCATGTGGCCTTATGTAGGTCTGTGTCTGTGTGTGTGTGTGTGTATGTGTGTGTATGCTTCCATGTACATCAATCACTGAATAATTTCAATCAGACAAACCACAATCTTTTTTAAAGAGACGCCACATTCATAGCGCTCCTCCTCTGCCTCATCTTCGTCCACAAGAAAAGACGTCGAAGTCTCTTCAGACGAGATACAAAACAGACGGGAACTTAGCGGAGAAACGCGGTTCCATCCTGATTGGATTAAACCGGGCGCAGGATGCGCACAAACATCAACTGGCGCCACTTCAACAGATTTCAGGAACAATCTGAGAGCCAGTCGTTTCCAGAAGGGGGGGGACCACAGACAGCGACAGTTCCAGGATGTGTTACTAGGCCTGAATACGGCTCTTTGACGTAGGATTTGGTCAGATATCTTTTTTTTTTCTGTTTATTTCTCAGAAGAATGCCTCCGATTCACTGCCCTCTGCTGGAGAAGTCATTTGCAAAGGGGTCAAACGCATGCTTATGAAACGGACTAGCGACCCGACTGGAAAACGGCTGGTTTCTTACCATGTACAGTAGACGTACGTCAGCGTGATCACGTATGAACTGAGCACGGGATTCAGGCGGCAACCGGTGACACACAAGCTCCCCTCTGCTTTGCTGGGAGCCTTCACTCTGCACCCGGGCCACAGGCCGAGTATCAGGTGAGGTTTTAAATAGCGGGGGCCTCCGCGCGATGACCTCAGGGGTCCCCGGGGCCCACGCCCAAGGCCCCCGGCCTCTGCACTTATGCGCCCCAAGAAAGAGCTCCGGGAACTAGGGCCTCCCCTCCGTCTGTGGCCTCCAGACTACGACCCAAAAGCCCCCCCCCCGTGCCCCAGTCCACCACATAAATTCGGGGGTCATAAACTCATTTAAAGTACAATCCTTCAAACAAATTTTCTTTGAGAACACGTCCAAAACTTAAAAGCCATCGCCCTCTTTCTAACGACGGCAAACGGATACTTGGGGGAACACAGTGCTAGCTCATCCTCTTCACCACGATTTTCAACGTCGGTTCTTCTTCAAAGATTCTGGATGTTTTGCTGACTTTGTCTTCTCCGTGGGCCCAGGCGCTTAATCTCCTTTCCAAAGGAGCAAAAGAGTGCGGGGCTGTCCTACAGGAAGGCCTGTGTTTATGTGATACTGCTTTAATTAGAGGCAGGCAGTGCTCTTATTTTCTTTACAATTTGGCCTGTGTTTGCCTTAACCCAGAATGCAGAGGGATGGCTCAGTTTTCCCCACGCAGCCGGGGGGGGGGGGGGGGGGGGACCATAAAGGGTTCTTGTTCCCTGCATCAGTGGGTCTGTTCCCTGAAAGTGGCTTATGGCTAATCAGCCCGAGATCATCTAGAATCGTCTGTAATTTTTCAACGGGGGACGTATGTAAAGTTGAACCCATGTGGAGCGGTGGTACCGAGGACTTCAACCCATATTTGTGTGTGTGTGTGTGTGTGTGTGTGTTTGTGTGTGTGTGGAGATCAAGATTGGACAATACTACAACTTCCTGTTTGAGCTAATCATTTCCTGTGAGCCTTGCAATGGATATAAACACAGAAGAATTTCTCCTCAGAGTGGAGGCAATATTCTTTGAATTCCCACCACCATGGTGCCACTGTTTTTGGGCATAAAGAAGAGCTCAGAAAATGCAATTACAGTAAAGAAAAAAAACCTCCACGCGTCTATAGAAGTTTGTCACACTTACTTCTTTGCGCAGGCATTTGTCTGACCCCCCCCCCCCAATCAATCTCTATCACTTTGTCTTATAAACAAGCCTTTCCATGTCCGAGTACATCTAAACAGTGCTGAGTGAGCACAGAGTGAGTGGAGACGATGCCTGCGAACGGAGTGGTGTGTGACGGCCTGTAGAATAAACACACTCCACAGGTCCGGTATGCGGCTAATGGTGGTCTGGCAAAGCCGGAGAACAGCTGATGACAAACCCCACATAGGATCACAAAAGCGGTTCCAGTCCATTCCGAAACTAACCGAGAGATCCGATATGACCCCGCTGCATTGTGTGAGCATCCAGTGGGGGGGGGGTCGCGATGGGGTCACTCGCAGAGGGCAGTTCCAGATGAAACGTAAACAGCCGCTCTGTCCTCTTTTCCTCACTCCAATTTTTTATTTTTTTCCTTTCTCTTGGATGATGGGCCAGTCCCCCAGCAGAGCGTTCCACGGTCCAGGCACAACTAAGCTATCCCTCAGCTGTGCAGTCTAATCTAAACAAACAGATCTCTCCCCGCCAGTATCTGGAACCCCTCATGCACCGGCACCTAGGAAACCACAGCAGCCCCGTCTCTCTGACAGCACGTGTGTGTGTGGGTCTGTGTGTGAGCGAGCAGGTTTGTGTTTATCGCTATGAACCGATATGACAGTATACTGTCGAAGTCTCCCGAGGTCCCCTAGACTTAAGAGTGTCGTCCAAGTTCTGTCAGTTCAGCTTACTGGTGTAACATTAGTAGCAGCAGAATCAAATGTTGGAGGCAGAAACAAGAAAAGGACATAAAACAACTGGATTTCAGACTCTGAATCGGACGCGATCTCAGTGGGAAGGCCAGGCTGCAGATCAGGCATGTTAGAAAACTGATTAAAAACAGCTAGTGGAAGCTACTAAAAAGCTTTGGACTGCAAAAAACAGCAGTGACTATTGTTGACTTTTCCTGTGGTTCCAAAAAGAATCAAAGCATCCGCAGAAACCAGCAGAGAGATGCCATTTAGCAGACAGCGTGCTTTAGCCAAATACTCTTATCTGAGAAGGGCAGCGGCGGCATATGGAAAATACAAATTGACAGCCTGATCAGTGGTTTTTAAAGCCCCGCTGTCCGATTTATCATTTCGTCTTCTGTCAGAGCAAAAATTTGTGATCAAACTAAAAATATTTCTCAGAAAAACCCCGGCAAATGTGGCTATATTTGCCTGTAAATGGCAATAACTCCTACATTAGTTAATCATGTTTTTCTTTTAACCAATTATTCTCCCCAGTAACTCCGGGACGCAGATGTAAAGGATGCACCTCTGATTCTGTCACAACACACCGGTCAAAATCTTGCCCACAGCTGACCCCATGGTGGTCTGGCATGTGTGAAAGGTGAGAAAACACAGTGATGCCCTCAGTACAGTTAGATATCCAGTTCTGAGGAGGCTCCGCTCTGTGGAAACTGCTGCCAACTGCGCCTGCGCCGCAGATTAGAAGTACACGCTATGGGTCAGACCCCCACAGCAGCAGCAGCAGGCCAGGGGAGAGAATCCGGCCCTGTCTTCTCATTCCCCCCTTCGTTTGAGCGGTCGGCTAAAACGTGGAGCGAGCAAAAACAAAAAGGCAGGCTCACGAGGGCACGCACGAATCCCTGAGAAACTTTTTGTCAAATTCATTCCAGTGCTCGGCGGCTAAATCTGCTCCTCCATTCATGAATCCCGCAGCCGACTCCAGCCATAAGTACAGGAATGCAGATCAAAGGGAAAGGGGGGGAAAAAAAGCTCAGCCTCTAACCCTTACCCCCTAAAGCACCACCCATACGCACGGTCTCTTTCCTCCTTTCAATTTTTCATTCTCTACAAGTTGTTCGGGGCAGGAAAAAGAAGGAGAAAAAAAAGAAAAAAGGGGAAAAAAGCAAGTGGCACATCCACCCGGCTCGAACACGAGCTCCTGTCCTCGCTCCGCTTTTTCCCTGCAGCCAGAGACAAATCTTTTCGGAAAGTTGAGAGCTGTCCAAAACCGGACCACACACACAGCCTCTGAGCCTTCGACTGCTGGGGGCAGGCGGACACACACACACTCACAAAATGGCGGCTTTCACAAAAATTTCCTCTATCCCCAGAGCTGCTTATGAGCTTAATTACAACCTTCTTCTTCGTGGGCGCCCTCGCAGTGGATTCTTCCAGCTCCTGTGAGTGCATCTAACCCAGTTTGAGGGTCCACAAAGAGGATCGTGAACTTATTCCAGAGTTTTGCTTGGCTTCTCTCCAGAATGTGAATGACAAACAGTTGTGTTAGATTCATTTAGTGGCACCATCCATTTCTCTCTCCTGCCTGAGCTACGAAATAATACCCATTCGAGCACCCAGTATGAAACTGTGTGCTTTCAAAAACACTGAAACCAGGAACACAAGCGGCGGGTTAAATGCAAACACATCCCGAAGAGGCAGACGGAATTAAGGACAATAACAAACAGTGTCTTACCTTCAACCCAGAGTTTCTCCACGTCCGTTTCCAAATTAGCTGCCCTTAAGCCGACGGCAAAAGCTCCAAAAATCATGAGGCCCACAAACAAAAACTTTCCGCAGTTCTTTTGTATGTAACAGCCAAGCCGGAATAAAAGTCTCTGGAACTTCGCTCTCAGCCACAGAGGCGCTTTCCTCCCAGTCGCCTTCCCCTGTGATAAGACAAGAGTCCCCGTGTCACTGTCAGGAAAAGCACCACACACACACACAAAAAAACAAAACACTCCACTTACCTGGAGCAGGTCAAGCTGCGGGATTAGATAATAGAGATCACGCTCGCACAGAAATTACTCTCACAGGTGGTCTGGAAATGTATTCCAGTGAAAAAGCCCTCAAATATTTCACCTGGGGAAACCGCCGTGAAGGCCGGCCGATAAGATTTACGGCGAGATTAATCACAAAGGGTTTAAGAGGAACGCGAGCCACGATACCAGAAGGAAAAAAAAAAAAGAAGTAAACACACTGGCTGCCTTACTTTGCTGACCTGAAACACAAAAGTGCCTGAAGCAGGCAGCTGCTGTGTGGCTGACTGCCTTCTGACCACAGAGGGGTCCCCAGAGGGAGAGCCACAGGGTCCAACATATCACTAAAGAACCCTAGCTCCACAGAGGCAACCACAGAAAAAGACAACAACCCCCCAAAAAAAGAGATAACTTTATCCTGTGCAGATCCCTCCCTGTCCACGGCGTGGGCCAGGAGTGTCATTTGTCTGCCACAGTGGTGAGTTATGAATCCACCAAACCAGGAAAGTGCAAGAACTGCTTTGCAGCTGGACCTCCTGAGTGGACGGAGGTAAATAACGGGAGATAACTGTCAGAATCGCTCGCCGGAATTTTGATAACGTGCCCGTCCCCGTGTGTGGAGCCACTGGAGGGACACAGATCAACCCAAACGCCCCCCGAGGATGAGACGCTCTCCCCCCCCCTAAGAAATAAACAGAAAGCGTCCTAAGCGTGTCCCACATGGGGGGGGCTTCTGCTTCTGTCCCTGGAGGCTCTGACACCCCCCAAACATCAGCCCTGACATTAGATGTTCAGGGAAAAAAAATCACAAACACAAACACCACCACACACACTCAGAACACAAACTCACACCCCAGTCCAGCTGCCCCTGTGTTCAGGCCTGCATGGGGGGGCACACACACACACACACACACAACGGTTGTGAACAGAAGAGGGCATCCACATGTTTTGTTTTTTCACTCCTCACCCCCTAAACCCCCCCCCCCCCCAAAAAAAAAAGTGAGACTGTCACCCCAAGTCTTTACGCACACCGTTAGAGGCGTTATGAAACGCTCAGGGGGAGGACAGGCTGGGGGGGGGGGGGGGGCAGCATGTTGTGCCCTGTGCGTTACAGTCCGGGGATGCAGACCCCCCACCCCCCCAAAAAAAACGGGAAGTAGGACCAGAGACTTGTCCCACACGCTGGAACCGAACAGTTTGGATCTGATGAATTAAGCCCAACTTCTGGCTTCCAACAACCTCCCCCGAGTCCCTTATGTGTGTGTGTGTGTGCGTCCCCCCGACTCCACTCCACCTCCACCCCTCCTGCCCAGCCCCGTCTCGTTACCTCGCGAGCACCGGACCACGGCTGAACCACCACCTCCCCCCCCCCCCCCCAGCCCTACCACCCTCTTCCTCACATGCACCTAAGGCGGCGGTGTGCGGGGCTCTCGGCCGGCGGAAAAGCGGAGGGGAATAAGCACCTCTGAGATCTGCTCCAGAGCGAAGCCCGCATCGCAGTAGCTCGGCCGCTGCAGATACTCCAAATCCAGCGGCGCGCCGCGGGCACGGTCCCCCCTGAGCCTGCGCGTTATCCTCGGCCGGTCGGGCTCTCCGCTTTCCTGCTCGGACGGCGCGTTAGCAGCTGAGGCCATGTTGCGGGGACTGCGAGGTGGTTGCCGTTTCCCACTTTAGAGCGTTTCCCCGAGAGCGTGCAGCGAGATCCCAAGCGGGCGACGGAGTTTCCCTCTCACAGCCGCGGAGTCGGACTTCATGCTCCTGTTGGAGACGGCGAGTCAAAGTCTGCGCCTTCCATCCCAACATTTCGCGATCCGGAGGTCTCCCCGCCGCTCTCTAACCGCATTCGTCCGTGGATTTCACCCCCCCCCCCCCCCTCGCCTCTTCAGAAAAAGTCCGTTTCTCTGAAAAAGCGACGTGCGCACAGCGGTTCCCACACACCAGTCGTCGGGTTAGAAACCACCGATCGCCGTAGCATTCTGCTGAGATCTCTGCGGTCTTCCCCAGGGCCGCGCGTCACGGCCAACTCTGAGATTCAATAGAAGGGGGAGAAAAAGACCTCTCTCCATTTGGAGGCAGAGAAAAAGGAGGAGGGGTGAGAAGAGAGAGAGAGGGGGGGGGGGGGGGAAAAAAAAGAAAAAAAAAAAGAGTCGAGATCCCGCCTCTGGGCTGTCAGATTGCCGGACTTTCTCGCATCTGATTGGTTCCAGAAGGGCAAAAATTACTCAGCAAACACGACTATTATTAGCTGCTTAGCAACAGCTCACTAAAGTAGGGGGGGGGGGGGGGACCACCCAGGCAGGCGGAACTCATGCGAGCGTATCCGAACGGAGCGGAGGCTTTGCGCCCCGGAGGAGTCCCGGCAGAGCCAGCCCCTTCCCCGAGAGGAGCCTGGAAGTCCGAAGAAACGAGGCTGGCGCTGGAAGAGCCGAGGAATGTCTGAAGAAAAGTTTTAAACTTTTTCTTTTTCCTCCCCCCCCACTTCACTCTACCACCATTATGGTAGTTGAGCCTCAAATTACAGCGGTGAAAGGGGAGGTCCTATAGCGGGCTATAGTGTCACCACCATGTCAGACGGGCTGGTGTGGAAAAGTTTGAAGAATGCGCCTATTTTATTTAACGCAGTGGTTTGAAAAGCAGAACATTTGAATAAAGAGTCGGAAACCCAAAGTGAGCATCCTCGGTTTGGCCGGTATTGTGAATGGAAAAATACACAGGAATGACGCGCCGATTGTCACCTGTCACGGACTGTGCACACGAGCGTTTTGGCGCACCGCGTTTTGGCTGATCAGTTGGGTGGTTCTGCGCCATTTCTGACAACGTGCCAATGCGCGCGCCTCTTAACTTCACCTGATGGATGCATCAGAGAGGCAGCCATCGGATCTAGTCTTGGTTTATATGCTTTACTGGCGAGATGAGTCCATTTTTGCGCATGAGCTGGAATCTTGATGTGATCTTGAAAACATTCTAAACATTTTAATACAGAATGGTCCTGCAACAAAACCCATCGTTTAACATTTTGAAGGTATAGAGCCAACAGCAGCACACACCTGACCCATGTGAGCCCACCTGTACCCCAGCCTTACCATCACAGTCCAGGTGGGACGAGCTCCCACAGGAAATCCCCGATAACCTCCCAGGCCGAATGCAACAATGTGTCAGTTAAGATGGGATCAGCGCGAGCTGATCTGGTGTTAGAAGGATAAAGAATGACGTGGTGTAGTCCGTTCTGATCAGAGTCATTTTGATCTTTGTGGGGAAGCTTTCACGCTCAATAACAGCTTTTTTCCTCTTTTTTTTTTTTTGGGCCACGTGGGTGGTCCCAATTCCCTGCAGAGGCAGGGCCTGTTATCTGGTCCATGATACTTTCCAAATTGGTAAAATGTTGCTTATCGGTGCATGCACAGTGGGTCCCCGTGCATTCACGTGCTTCACACAGTTCTTCACGTACTTTGACTTAGACGTGTTTTTTTATTAGCTATGAGTTCATTCCATTTACATATTGGATGTTAACGAGATGCATAAATATTCAGATAACTAATATGTGCTAAAACCACATGAATCTGCACCACAGATGCATGCTGGGAAAAGTCTTTGGAGCACACACTCACATGAATATTTGTCGTTTTCAGTTTGGCATCTTTTTTTCTGACTGGCACCATTCTGTAACATGTTTTTCTTCCAGGGAAGCTCTGAAAGGGGTTTATAATTGCTTAGATTTTTATCTTTTCTGCCCCATCAACATAATTCATTTGATTTCTTTGCAGGGTTTGGCATGGTGAAGCCGCCACCTGGACCAAACAATAATATCACTCCACTGGCATCAAAGATCACCGAGAGGGGAAAAGCTTCCAAAAGGGGGAACAAAGTAAAGCTGCTATGCCCCCTAATGCCCCTGAATAGAATTAAGCCCGTCTCGGTGGAGCGAAGCCTTTACTGGAAGCAAGAGTCATAACTCCTGCAAGAGATCTGAACTAAACATGTCCATGTTGTTGTCATGACAGTAACGCTGTAGGACTCCATTAAAGTGCTGCGGGTCATTGTGGAAAATTGGTCCACCCCCTTCAAATACTGTAGTGTTGGGGCTGTAAAGATATGCCTGTAAAAATGTTCTGGGAGATTATACTGCAAGCATCTGTGTGAACTAATGAAACACAAATGCACATACGATGCCAAAACATTCTTGACCAAACATGAGGATCTTTCCTTTTCTTCTCATTCACCATATGGATACGATGATCTAATTGTATACAAGTCCAAATCCCCTTATTTTTACATCAAGACTAATAGTTTAGGCTTCAGGGTTTGTGAATAATATTGACAATACGTCAGCATTTAACAAAGACCCCATCAGCTGTTGAATGATGAGGTATACCGTAACATGATCCTCTTTTAAAAAAGATATTCATTCTGATAAATATGCTGTGATGTGATTTTTATTCAAATTAAAAGTCTTGTGGCTATCAAAGGTGAATTGTGTTGTCATTACAGGTTACTTGTGGTAAATATGAACACTTTAACCCATGAACAAACCTCCCAGCTTCTTTTAGAGCTATAGGGAACAAATAGTTGTGGTTATGGTGGTTAACCCCTTTAAATATCTGTATCTTTGTCACAAACACATTTAAAAAGGCATACATGCATAATAACTGGAGTTAGGATCAAGAATTTTTGCAAAATGTACACATCTGATGGACATTTCCAAATTCTTATAATGTACTTTGTGTCTTTATGGATGTCAGATGTGTTGTGGACTAACTATTTTAGTGAAGTACATTAACTGGAGCCTTGCCAATGTAACAGGACCACTTTTGTGGAAGTTGAATCTCTTCTTGGAATCGTTTATAGGAAGGTTACATTATTTTTATCATTTGCGACTGGTTTAGGGTTAGGTTAGGGTTCTCTGTGTCTACAGTTATGATTGTATCATGTAATGTAACTCCAACCCCAAGAAATTTAGCCTTCCAATGTGGTGTAACGTGAAGAACAGAAAGGGATGGCTGAGGAAAGTCCTGAAATATGCAACGTCCCCCTGGCAGGATGTCAGAACTTCAAGGGGTTAAAAATAAGCTTCATTACAGCTTAACCCAAACACATTGTTAGACTGAATGCCTCAAGTTTCACATTTAGTTGTGAATTCCCTAAAATTGTCCAGGTCCCGCATCTGAGCCGGGAGAGACTAGCCATGTCCTGTTTGAAAAGTCTAATACATATCGTTTACACAACTGGCAGCCTCGTTGGGGCAGAAAATTTAAATAAGAAGCAGCAAATGTTGTGGCTGCATACTTAGGCAGCACAGCTCAAATGACAGAGACTTATTAGATTTATCCCCTCTGTGATACTACAGAAGCATGATGTAGCAACATGGTGGATCACAAAGGGGAAAATCAGCTTTCTTTCTGGATAGAAATGACCAGTTCTCAGTTAACAACAATACAACTGTTCTTATTTCCGTGATACTGAAACAATCACAACAAAAACATACCTCTTTATTGAAAACAAATGCTCTCAAGAGCCCAATTAAGTAAGAATGTCCTCTCTCTCTCTTTCTGTCTCTCCTTCATTCACCAATAAATAAAAGAGGAAAAGAAACAAGTCAAGGAATTTGGTGTTTGTCAAGTGCTTCATTCATTGGGTGAAGCAGGCTGCTTACACTGAACTCATGAGCTCATGTATCACACCATCATGTCTCACCAGCACAGAACTGGTGCACCATACTGGATGAGACTCATTACCGAGGGATATTTTACTTGGAGTCTAGCTATTACAGCAAGGTGGTCTTGGAAAACATGATGGAGGTGTTATACGTTTCTGGAGGAAACCCCAGCAATGGAAAAAGAGCGCCAAAAGAATGAGATCACAATCTTCAGAGACCTAGGTGTAAAATGCATTTTACAAAAAATAGTGGTGCCTCCATTTCTGTTCTCAGAAGTGTCTGTGATTACATTTCTCTGGTTATCAAAAAAAGGAACAGACAAACAAAAATAAAAATATGTTTAAAAAAAAGTTAACCATCATTCAGTTATCTACGCAATTTAGCTATTTCATTCTTTACTGTAAAAGATTTATTAGAACTGACATCTGACACACTGCTCTATATAGTGTACACTCATTTTGTGCTAAAATATAAATACACAATATGTGAAACATAGTTGTAAAAGCCAAAATTGAAATAAATCAATTTGATGCGGAGAGAAAAGAAATTGTCTGCACTGTGTCAACAAAAAAATCAAACATACCTATTGTGTCCTATCTGTGTTTAAGTATTAAATCCATTGGTATTTTCTGATTTAAAAAAACATGATGGTCATATTTTATAACAGAGCCCAAAAATTCTGACCGAAGTTGCGTTAAACAGGAATTTCTCTGTATGAAGGCTCCACATTTTTATTCACGAGAAAATCTTCCTGTCAGTGTAAGCTACATGCGATTCCAACAGTTCTGCCCAGCCATAAAACTATCTCCTCCTCCTCAATCAACCCAGCGAGTGACTCCCCCTGCGCCATGACGGCTGCATGTGAGGCAGAGTGGGGCTGAGTGCATGCGAGAGCCTGCAGGGATATTTATGTTCGAGCTCATGATTGTCTTCGATCATACGCGGGGCTGTTTGACAGGTTGCAGCACTTCCTGGCCTCTG